GATTTAAACCTACCTTTGATCTTCAAAACCAGCTGAGATAACACAGCATAGATTTCAGCACTAAAGCATTGTTTTTTTGTTTTTTAGGAAATTGAACATTCACAAACAAGAGTATAGAGAAAATCATCCCAGAAAACCTTTTGCACGAAGGCTGTACTCTTGAAAGATAATTTTTAGGTCTTAGGACCTTGAATGAAAGTTAATATTAAAAATCAAGAAAATTGAAGGAAAAGTTTCAAAATTATTAATAAGATTGAAAGTTAGCTTATTCTGGAGAAAGAGTAGTACTTTCAACCTTTAATTTTTCTTTAATGGGATTGAGGAAAGTAAATAAAAGAAGACTAATAGCAGGCCTCAGAGAATTGATCATAATGTTATTCTTGCTTTATATTCCAAAGATGAGCAAGTCATGTTGAACAGAAGTGTGAGCCTGACTTCCAGTAGTCTACAAAATAGAGACTCCCTCTAGTTTTTTAGCCTATCCTATTTGCTTCTTGTATTTTTTATAGATAGGTCAATCCTCATTATTGTCCTATTTCTGATATACTCCGAGATGATCTCTTTTGCTTTCATCTCCCTACTCGGTGGAAGTTGTTCAGTTCCCCTGTTGCCTATTCCAAAATATGGACATTGTCTCTTCTCTTTAGTTGATATAACTACATTTGTTGGTCATTAGCTTGATTAGATTGTGATACAAATACAGGTATTTTTAAGACAAATTATTCAGGATACTGGGTAAATTAATCTTAGTAACATTGTGGATGCTGTTTCAGGTGTACTTAACCCCTGGGTAGGGTGCACTGAAGTGTATCTATAGTTACATTTATGATCATGATACCAGTACGCTTTAATCACATACCTCTTAAGCACCTCTTTTTCTGAAACCGATGCTTGTCTCCTACTAGCGGTGTGGATGTGAGAAGTCATTGTCCTCCCTAGGTCTCAGGTCCTCAGCTGGAGAGGACTTGGATCTCCCAAGCCTCTTCAAAAAGTTGGTAACTCTTGTTTCAGTGGGCAGAGGGATCTTATTTGTTTAATCTCTGTGGAAAAAAAGAAACATATTCAGACAATTAGGAGATTGAACATAGCAAAGCTTTTAAAATTTTTCCCTGAAATTATTGGCTCTGCCTAGTCTCTGTCTTCCCTATGAATTTATCTGGTTAGGTCCTTTATTTACTATGATTTTGACACATAATGACATGATGACACAATTTACCTCAAAGATTCAGTGCCTCCTTTGAAAAGCTAGAGTAGGATAGGTAAATATAATGAATCACCATGAACCATTAACCTAGCTTGAACAATTACCAATATTTTCATTCTCTTCCACTGACCTTTTTTTTTTTTTTTTTCTGGAAAAGGAAATCCTAGGCATCATGTCATTTTGGCCATAAATGGGACAAGTTTAATTACATGTCTCTAAGTGGTATGAACGTTTTAAAAAATATGATCATCTAATGATCACGCCTAACAAAGTCAACAATTTCTTAGTATCATCCAATGCTGTATATATTCAAGTATCTTCTTTTGTCTCAAAGATGACTTTTTTTTTTTGGAAACGGATTCTCACTCTGTCGCCCAGGCTGAAGTGCAGTGGTGGTGCCATCTCGGCTCACTATAACCTCCGCCTCCCGTGTTCCAGCGATTCTCCTGTCTCAGCCTCCCGAGTAGCTGGGATTATAAGAGTAAAACGCCCAGCTAGTTTTTGTATTTTTAGTAGATACGGGGTTTCACCACGTTGGCCAGGCTGGTCTCGAACTCCTGACCTCAAGTAATCCACCCACCTCGGCTTCCCAAAGTTCTGGGATTACAGGCGTGAGCTACTGTGCCTGGCCAGAGATGACTTTTTATAGTTGGTTTGTAAATCAGGATCTAAGTAAACTCCAGCATTTACATTTGCAGTTTGATTGTGGTGTCTCCTGAGCCCTTTTCAGACTTTTTTCAAGTTACCCATTTGTGGAGAAACGAGGTCATCTGTCCTAGAGACTATTCACATTTTGAACTTGGCCTTTTCCTTCTTTGTGGTATTGTCTCTTTCATTGCCTGACTGTTGACTGTCTTGTAAATTAGTAGTTACACGTAGAGACATGATTAAAGTTTAGTGGTTTTGCTTAAGGCAAGAGTACTTCATAGGAGGTAAGATATATTAAAAGACACACATTATTCAGTTGTTCACTTTCAGCGATGCTGAAATGCATGGGGGGTTAGGTCTGATCCCTCTGTTTTAAAGATCCTCATCAGCTTTTAACCTAATGCTTTGAGCATCCATTGATAATTGTTGCTTAATCTATTATTTACAACTATTTCTTCTGATCTTATTCACTGGACTTATTTTATAAACAAAAACTTCCTTCATCAACTGTTTAGTGCCTCTGAAACATGGTTCTTATGAGAAAGGCAAGATGAGTCTTTGATGTTTTCCTTTTATATGTTAGTTTGCAACTGTCAATGGAGACTCATGAGGGTTTCTTTTTTTAAAATGTCATTATGTGTATACACACACACACACACACACATACATATGTATCTTTTTTTGTGGAGAAAGTCGCATTCTGTCGCTGAAGCCCGAGGGCAGTGGCACCGTCTTGGCTCACTGCAACCTCCGCCTCCAGATTCAAGTGAATCTACTGCCTCAGCTTCCTGAGTAGCTGGGATTACAGGTGTGCGCCACCACAACCGGCCAATTTTTGTAATTTTAGTTAGAGATTGGGTTTCACCATGTTGGCCAGGCTAGTCTCAAACTCCTGACCTCAACTGAGTCACCTACCTTGGCCTCCCAAAGTGCTGGGATTACAGGCATGAGCCATTGTGCCCGGCCTAAAATGTCATTTTAAATTTATGAATTTTTATATAGTTAGTGTGTTTTGATCCATTGCAGTAATCCTTTTGTATTAAAGCTGACACTTATATTTAAGATACCCCAGGCTAATCTTGCACATTGTACATTTCTTATCCCAGATCTTGTATCAGCCATATCTTCAAGGTGTCCGAGTTCCTTTGGATGGGAAAAGGGTGTTTAGAGAACACAATCTGGGTAAAGGAGAAACTTGTTGCTGCCACACCTTTTCAGTGGACAGAGTTTGAAAACACACACACACAAACATACATGCATACACACAGACATACACTTTCAGAGTTATAAAAAAAATAAGTTTATATTGATGTTTCCAACTTAAGTTTACAAGGCTTTTATTTTTCTGATTTTATTATAGCATCTTTTTTTCCTTTACATGAAAAATTTTGGTTCCTAAGGGTATTAACATAATTCCTTGTTTGCTTTGTCCTGTGATATAGCTACCATAGTTTCAAAATAACAATATCAATAAATTTGTTTTTTTGTTTGTTTGTTTTTGAGACAGAGTCTTGCTTTGTCTCCCAAGCTGAAGTGCAGTGGTGCAATCTTGGCTCACTGCAACCTCTGCCTCCTGGGTTCAAGCGATTCTCATACCTCAGCCTCCCGAGTAGCTGGAATCACAGGTGTGTGTCATCATGCCTGGCTAATTTTTGTATTTTTAGTAGAGATGGGGTTTCACCATGTTGACCAAGTTGGTCTTGAGCTTCTAACCTCAAGTGATCCTCCCGCCTCGGCCTCCCTAAGTGCTGGGATTACAGGTGTGAGCCACTGCATCTGGCTAATAGATTTTTTTTTGCTGTTTTTTTTTTTTAAATGGTTAGACTCTATCTCATTAGGCATGTATGGTAAACATTCTTTAAGTCACCTGAAGTAATTCTTTTCTCTGTATTTCTACCATTGAATCCATATACATTTAGGTTTTATTTTTGTTTTTAATTTTAGAAATTGCTTTTTTTTTGGAGACGGAGTCTTACTCTGTCACCTAGGCTGGAGTGCAGTGGCACATGGTCTCTGCTCACTGCAAGCTCCGCCTCCTGGGTTCACACTATTCTCCTGCCTCAGCCTACTGAGTAGCTGGGACTACAGGCACCCACCACCACACCCAGCTGATTTTTGGTATTTTTTTTTAGTAGAGATGGGGTTTCACCGTGTTAGCCAGGATGGTCTCGATCTCCTGACCTTGTAATCCGCCTGCCTCGGCCTCCCAAAGTGCTAGGATTACAGGTGTGAGAAATTTCTTTATTTTAGAAAGATGGAGGTAAAAAGTAAGTGTTTTATAACCACTTTCAGAGAATTCTCATTTTCATGCATCTCTCCATTATTTTTCCTCTTCTATAAATAACCATTTTTATTAGCTTTTTGTTTATCCTTCCTCATTTTTTAAAAAAAAATATAAACAAATGGTCTGTGGAAATACTTTTGATATCACCCAATCTTAAACATTTTTTCTCTACCTAGCCTTTTTAACTTAATACTGTATATACTTGATCTCAGCCCATAGTAGAAATATGAGAATTGTCTTCATTCCTTTTTTATAGTTTCATAGTGCTCCCCAAATCTTCATGACTGACTTTTAGGTATTTTATTAGCTAGATTTTAGAGCCAGTGTTGAATCAATGGAAGGGAAAAAGGAGGCAACACATATTTATCAAACTGTGTGTCATTTACTTTATAAAGTAGGGTTATTTCCCTGCCCCCCAGTTACTAGAGTGGAGAGAAGTAGAGTTCAGTAAGATGTAGTGATATACTCCCAATGACATGACTGGTAAGAGAGAAATTCATAATTAAGAATTTGATGTCTTTCCAATGCATCATGAATACTGTGACTCGGCATTTCAGTGATTGTTAGACTGTCATACTGGTGACTTTTTCATGTAACATTTCAGGGGATCTGGTTTTTTTATTTTTTGTTTTTAAGTATTTTAATTTGGTTGTACCTAAGAACCTGATAGAAAACTTTACTTTTGTGATTTCTAAAGAATTTTTGAGAGTTGTATTTTAAAATGTATAATATAATGCAGTCAGTATTATAGTAACAGTAGTAACCACTTGTCATCTCTTTCTGTTCTATCAACCATACACCGGGAATTTCTCTCTTGAAAATGTGTTTCCCTAAATTTAACAGAACTTTTTTTTTCTGTTGCAGTTTGGGAATACCTGCTACTGCAATTCAGTTCTTCAAGCACTTTATTTTTGTCGTCCATTTCGGGAAAAAGTTCTTGCATATAAGAGTCAACCTAGGAAAAAGGAGAGCCTTCTTACATGCTTAGCAGATCTCTTCCATAGCATAGCCACTCAGAAGAAAAAGGTTGGAGTAATACCCCCTAAGAAGTTCATCACAAGATTACGGAAAGAAAATGGTAACTCTACTTCCCACTGTATTAATGACATACTAGGAAGGTTAAATATAGTGTGCCATAATTCCAGCACTTACTGAGCAGCATCTGTATGCCTGATAACATGTTAGCTGTTGAAGAAACAAAGATGACACTCCTTTCTTCAAGGAGGCACTCGTTTAGTGAAGAAGATAGTCTCACAATAAATTAATACAAGATACAATTAATGTTTGCATTGCGTTATACAGAGATAAAATTATGTGTGGCAGCAAATGAGAAATCACAGTTTCTCTTTTTGCTTGCTTGGCTTTTCTGTCAAGAATGAAGGGTTTTTGTGTTTTTTTTTTTTGCATGCTTATGCATTTGTTGTTTTCATAATGCTTTCGTGTGTGTTAACTCATTGGATCCTTGCAGTAGCCTTAGATAGAGAGCATGTCATTTCCCCCATTTTAGCTGTGAAAAAATCAAAAGCTAAAAAAGGCTTGCCAGGAGCCACACTCCGGGGAAAGAGCTAGAAAAGACCTTTTGGCTTCGGGTAGATAAGTTTTAATCCCCCATCCCTTTTTAAAAATGGTTACTGAGTAAGCCCCACCCCGCTTTGCTCTTTTGAAATATTGTTCATTTAATTTTCACATGCCAATAAGTTAGACTTTATCACCCTATGAGATAACTGAGGCTCAGAGAGGTTAATTTGTCCAAGGTCCCACAGAGTTAGTAAGTGGTGGAGCTGGCATACAAACTTACTTCTCCCTGATACGTAAGCCCAGGGTTCTATCTAATGTGGGACACTGCCTCAAAAATGCAAATGGAATTTAGATAACATGTAGAATTCTGGCTTTTATTTAATGTAGGCATTTTAATCATTGTAGAAACAAAATTGAATGGCATTTTTAGTTGATTTGTTACCTATTAAATAGATGCTCACAAGCAGGATTTGAGAAGTCTTTAAGATTGATTATTAAATACCCTAATGTGTAATCCTGCCCTTAAATTAGTCAGTTGACACTGTTCACAGTGAATTGAGGTAAGCCTGGATCATATATAGTTCCCTGAAATATGAGATGACCCAGAAATAGGCTATAGGCTATTATTCTTGAATTTGATACATTTGTTGAAGATTTATTCATTTTCCCCACATACACGTGTAGAATAATTGATTAATTGCTCACAAAAATACATTTTGTTTCCCCTAATGAAAGCTAAACATATATACTTTATTAGATTACAGATCTGTTTATCTTGTTTTTTTAGAAAATCAAATATAACCTTAATGCTCAAATGTGGATTGAGCAATTAAGTCTTCTCAGTCTTTTTGTGTGTGTCTATATGAAACTTTAAAAGTTTTGTCCTTGTGGAAAATTTATGTACTTGGTAATTGAACATGGCAGCCTTTCTCAGTGACTTTATTAGTATTTTAAAAATGTTCAGTGCCTGGACATGGTGGCTCACACCTGTAATCCCAGCACTTTGGGAGGCCAAGGTAGGAGGATTGCTTGACCCCAAGAGTTGGAGACTAGCCTTGGCAGCAAAGCAAGACCTTGTCTCACAAAAAATTTTAAAAATTAATCGAATGTGGTGGTGCACATCTGTAGTCCCAGCTACTTGGAATGCTGAGGTGGGAGGATCGCTTGAGCCCAGGAGGGTGAAGCTGCAGTGAGCCCTGATTGCTCCACTCTCCAGCTTGGGTAACAGAGCGAGATCCTGTCTCTAAAAAAAAAAAAAAAAATCAGAAGTATGCAGCTTATACAGAATATACGTTATTTCCCTTTTCATTTAATAGTACATTTCTCTTGGCCTTGTTAACCTATCACATGTGCTCTTTATACAGTGATTTTATTTTAGTTAGGTTGACCCTCATGCTGAATAGAGGTAAAATACAGTTACATACTTATGGCTTTATATGTTTGTTTGTCAAACCTGGGGTATTTTTATGGTGTTTGTTATTTTTTCCAAATGGGCTTTTTTTCTTTTCCTTCTCTCTCTCTCTCTTTTTTTTTTTTTTTTTTTTTTTTTTGGTAGCACGGGGTCTCATTATGTTGCCCAGACTGGTCTTGAACTCCTGGCCTCAAATGACCCTCCCACGTCAGCCTCCCAAAGTGTTGGATTACAGGCATGAGCCACTGTGTCTGGCCTTATTATTATTATTATTTATTATTGTTTTTAATAGTTCAATAGTTACTAATTTTTTTTCATATTTAGGCAGATTAAATTGGTAACACAATAGAGTTCTTAAATACTTCTTTGAAAGAGACTGATTCTAGAATATTTATTGTAAGCCCATCTTCTCTTAAGTTTTGCTTCATTTTTCTAAACTTCAGAAATAATGCTTAATAGAAAAGCCATTTTTTTTGATAGAAAAGCATTTTTATTATTTGGTGTTACTGACATTTGCAAATATGTTTTGAAATTTTTTTTGGCTTTTGAATTTTCCCTTGAGAATTGTGTAGAGAAGAATATACAAATCAAAGAGGATTTAATATATTATTCATTGCATATCTTTCCTTCTGAGATTTTGTTTTAAATCTTTGGAAAGTATGTTACTCATTTCAGTATTTCCACTAATTTTCACTGGTGGATGGTTCTTACTAAATTAATTTCCTGCCATACTATGTTAAAAACTTTTATTCTCGATAGATATTAGCCCCATATTGTTTTAACCACCATTGCTTTATGTTACTAATCTTTTTGGTGTCTCTGGAAAGAACTGATTTTAATTTCTATTTATTAATGAACTTTTGTAACTCATGTTACCTAATCATAGCGTAAGAGGACAGTTGCACAGTGCTCCTGCATAGAGTACAGGAATACTGGCTTCCATGCATGTTACCAGTATGCTAATGGGATGGATGCTAGCTGAGTGTTTGAGTAGACTCATTATGATAGATATATTTCCTATTGTGTGCCAGACACTGTCTAGGAGCTGATGATACAGAAATATGCCTTCAGGTACCTGACACCCTCATGGGGAACCAGACAGCCATCAGTTGTGTGATGTAATGTGTCACTGTCACGAAAGAAAGAAGGAGAGGGGATAGAGGATGAGTGAGTTCCTAGTTCATATGTCAGTCGTTGGGGAATGTCTCTGATTAGATAATGTTAGATCAGAAATTTGAAGACATCATTTGAAGATCTGAGGCAAAAATGTTACTGTCAGTAAGAAGAAAGTGCAGGTTGCCTGAGTGCTTGAAGGATGGCAAGAAAATTAGCATCGCAAGAGTGAAATAAGATGAAGATAAAGTCAGAAGAACAGGGGCCTAAAGCTTGGGTTTTCTTCGGAAAGCCGTGGGAAGCCGTGAGAGGGTTCTGAGCAGATGGATGATACGTTCTGATTTGCTTGAGAAGACCCTCTGGCTGCTGAGTGGGCATGGGCAGCATGAGAGTAGAGACAGGAGACCAGCCTGGAGGCTGTTGCAGTACCCAGGTAGGAAATGGAGTCATCTCTTTACAGGTACTGCTTGTGGGTGATCTATTATTTTGGAAGAAATACATCATAGGTTGGTGATCTGATTGTGTTAGCTAGAGTTAACCCTCACCTGGCCTGTTTGGGATCGTTTCTGGTGGGCCTGAGGGCCACATCAGCTGGCATCTGTAGCTTTGTGCTCTGCTTCCTGAATCTGAGCAATGTCAGTCATTTAAGTTATTGTTTGGGGGCAGATCTACTTTTCTGTCATCATCTTAGCTGTTTCAATCCCTATTGTCCATCCATCCATCCATTCATTCATTCATTAAAAAATGGGAAAGACATCCCACCATTATGTGGCAGGCACTGTTGTCAGTCCTAGGGATACAGCAGGGAATGAGCTAGAAAGGGTCCTTGTTCTTAAGGAACCTGCATGGACATAGCAGCTTTTCATGTGCCGTGGAGAGATACAAAAACAGATAAATTTAAGTCTTGGTCTCCCTCAAGTGATGAAATTTTAGTTGTTCACAAATAATACCTATTAAATATCTTGGAGTAAATAATTTCTTATGTTTATTTCAAGCAATTCTTTTTCTCCAAAAGAGCATAAATGGTATTTTGTGTAATGAGAGCTCATAGCTATTTCTGAATTGTGAGGAGAACATAACCGATTTTTAAGCAGTGTTTTTCTTTTTTTTTTTTTGCATTATTGTTGCAGCTATATCAGGACTATAGTAGTTTGTAATCATACATTTATTTAATAATGAAATTGTCTGTCTCTCCCACTAGACTGTCAGTTCCATGACGGAGGGAACCCATTTGTTTTTGCTCACCATTGTATTCCCAGCACATATTCCAGTTCCTGGCACATAGTAGGTGCTTACTAAATATTTATTGAATGAGTGAATGAATGAATGACATTGTTTAACTTCCAAAGCAAATTTGAAGTCCACCTTTCCCATTATGCTACTTAGCAAAGAAGAAAGCAAACCATAAGAAAACCAAGGGTTTTACAAATTAAATACAATAGAATTCACAGGGATTGTCCTGAGGTCCTTTATCAGTGTTAATTTGATGTTTATGCAGTCCTGGTTGATGCTTTTAAAACTATAGTGGCTGCTTTCAGGTACAGCAGAATTCTGGCATATTCAGTATACTCTAAGGAAAATGGACTATAAATAATTTTAGAAATATTTCAACAAAAGTTTAAAGATTATTTTTTGGTTTCCTTTGCATCTCATTTCCAGAGCATTCATGTCGTGTGAGGTATTTTTGTGAATATGAAATCGTTGCTCTGTATTAAAAGAGCATCCAAAAAAAGATGTAAATTTTTAAAAAGCGAAAACATTTGCACATTTTTGCTTAAAAGGTAATTATTTTGAAAAACATGTATATGCTAAATAATTTTTCTCAACAGGGAAATTAACGGGAAAATTAGGCTACTTCAGATTGTGGCATCAAGCCAATAAAATCTTTTTACTAGTTCTCCCTGATTATTCTTCTTTTTAGATTCCTCTAGGACTTTTCCAGTTGGTTTCCAACTTTTCTTAAGCCCCTCAACTCAACTTTAGCATAATTACCTTCCACTCCTTGTCTCAGTAGACCTGTTTGAGGTGGGTGGTTCCAGATTAGTGACCTGGAAATGGGTGGGTGAGTGAGAGATAAAGGTTCTTGAATTGTAAGAGATTGAGGTACATGCACGTCAGGAAGCTGCCTAGACACTGACATGTCAAGGTTGGTGCAGGAGGCGGAGCGGAAAGAGAAACCGTGAATCAGGCTGTCACTGGATGAGGAGGAGGTTGGGAGATGGCCTCAGAGAGAGGAGGGTTGAGGGTCATAGTATGGCTGGATCTTGGGCACTTTTGTGATTGAGAGCAAGTAGCAGTCGGAAACTAGAAAATGCCAAAGGTTGCTAAGGCAAGGGAGTTTGTTTAGAACAGAATGCAGGACCTAGAAGGAGCAACTTAGAAAGGGTTGGGAACAAATGAAATCCCTTATTTCCATTCGGAAATAAGGTACAATAAGCAAATGAGAGTAGCAGAGGATAGGAGATTGAGGTTGAGAGGGGAAGTGTTTATTACTTTCAGGGATGGAGGATTACTGCATTGAGGGGCAAGGTTAGATAATTTACTTCAGTTAGCTCAGCGGTGGTCTAGACTTTTCCAATTGGTGAAACCGTGTGAGGTTCTATGCACGACTTGGCCCAGCCTTGGAGGGATGGAGTGGACTGCTGAGAAGATTTTTTGAGTTTCAGGCTCAGCGTTGGGAGAGGTTGCATAGGCTTCTGCTCTGAGCAGGGTGAAGGGAATGGCGTCCCAGTGCTTTAGATCTACTGTCTCTTACGGACAAAAACCCACACAATGTACCAAATTCAAGATTAGTTGTTAAGTCCACGTAGGCCACTACGGAGCACTTAGAACTCATGACTTTTATTGCTCTTAAGCATAACATGGGAATTTTGCTAAAGGCTGATGGGTCCCTCAGGCTAAACTTACAGCAGAGAAGTGAACTGTGGCTTAGTTGGGCTTCAGTTGCATTCTTAATATTATTGTACTTTATTTGAGACCCAAATTTGTGGAATGGATTTGGATATATGAAAATAACTAAATAATGAACATGAAAAAATTATTGTGAATTTTACCATGTAATGCAAGAGATGTCAGGGAAAATTCCTAGGGAGAAAGATTCAGGGTCTATAAATTAAACTTGTCTATTTGCAGTGTGAAACTGAAGGAAAGGAGACTCAGTGGGTTAAGTGAAGGAAGCTGACTTGAACTAGGTAGATTTAAATGGAAATGGAACAGACTAGACATGCAGGAAATGAACTTTTAAAATTGAAAGGGTTTGGAAAGTAATTGTATATGAAGAGTATGCAACAGACAGGGAGATTGCTTGAGCCTAGGAGTTCGAGATCAGCCTGGACAACATAGCGAGACCCCCACCTCTTAAAAAAATGTGTAACAGGCAGGGACAGGGAGCGAGGAAGTGGACTTTTTGCATGGAAAGCTCTATTTTATTTTTAAGCATACAAATAATACATGCATACATTCTTACAATAAAATTTCAGTACCAAACAAACCTAGAAGTTTCCCTGAGTACTATGCTTCCTCCCCAGCTTCTCAGTCTCATGTTCCTTTGAAATACCCTGATCCTACCAAATCCTTTTCTATGTATTTAAATACATATGTCCAAGTAGGAAGCCACAGTTACATTTTTATGGGGACTTACAGTGGTTGTTTCCTTTTTTTTGCGAGACAGAGTCTCGCTCTGTCGCCTAGGCTGGAGTGCAGTGGCGCGATCTCAGCTCACTGCAACCTCCACCTCGCAGGTTCAAGTGATTTTTGTGCCTAAGCTTCCTGAGTAGCTGGGATGATAGGTGCTTACCACCATGCCTGGCTACTTTTTGTATTTTTAGTAGAGATGAGGTTTCACCATGTTGGCCAGGCTGGTCTCGAACTCCTGACCTCAAGTGATCTACCCGCCTCAGACTTTCAAAGTGCTGGGATTGCAGACGTGAGCCACTGCACCCAGCCGGTTGTTTGTTTTTGGTGAGTGGGATCCACATGTGTTTAGCATCCTTGTTTCGCTTTCTGTCTTGGAAGTTTTGCCATGTTAATTCATATGGAACTGCTTCCATTTTAACCGTTGCCCAGCATTCCCTAACAAAATTATAGCATAATTTAAATAAATCATTCTCCTGTTGATAAACATTTAGGATATTTTCAGACTTCTGTTATAAATAAGCAGCCGTATTTATGCTTGTTTCGGTACATGCACAGATACTTACCTGGCATCGACACCTGGGAGAATGAGGTTGCATTATTTTAAATGTGTTACCAAAATTGCCTTTACAACACGCCATGCCAGTTTATGCTCCCAGCGGCAACAGTTGAGAATGTCCATTTCTCCATACTCAAGCTAACACTGGATGGACACTAAGTCAGTTTTTATTGTGCCAAAGTGATGGGCAAAATGATATTTTGTCATTGTTTTAATTGTTATTTCCCAGTCCCTTGTCATGTATTATATAGGCATTTATATTTCTACTCTGAATTGGCTACTATTTTCCTTTGCCTATTTTTTAAATTGGTTTTTTCTTTTCTTGTTTTGTAAAGGGTTTTTTTTTTTTAAATATTCTAATTAAGCCTTTACATAGTCTGGATATTAATATGCAAATAATTCTCCTTGTTTGTCACTTGTCTTTATTTATGTTGACTTTGCCATACAGAAGTTCATAATTTTTACGTAGTCAGTCTTTGATGTGTTTTGTATTTTATTCAGTAGCAACAACAATATAGGTTGAGCATCCGTAATCCAGAAATCTGAAACTTTTTGAGCTGCAGGATGCCACATGGGTGGCTGAGGTAGTAACAACTTTGCTTTCTGATGGTTCAGTGTACACAAATTTAGTTCCCTGCACAAAGTTTTTAAAAATACTCTATAAAGTTGCACTCCATCTTGGGCAACAAGAGTGAAACTCCGTTTCAAAAAAAAAGTGCTATATAAAGTTACCTCCAGACTATAAGGTGTATATGAAACAAATGAATTTCATGTTTAGACTTGAGTCCCATCCCCAAAATATCTCATTATGTGTGTGCAAATGTTTTCAAATTTGAAGCAGTCTAAAGTCCCAACCACTGCTGGTCCCAAGCATTTTGGATAAAGGATACTCAACCTGTAGTGATACTGCCAATATTGTTACTGTGGTGGTTGTTGAACAGAATACAATACCTATTGTTGTATTCTAAGCCCTTCTAATCTTTCTACCAGCCTTGTGAGGTGTAGGTACTGCTGTGAGCCCCATTTTTCAGATGAGGAATTATGGCACAGGGAGGTTGAATAAGTTGCCTATGCCACGCGTGCAGTTAGAGGTAGAACCATAGCACCAACCCAGACAGCCTTGCTCTAGCAGCTGTGTCCCCCACCCCCATAAGTAGCTTCACTCGTTCCCTTTCTGTTTTTACAATAACTTTGCAAAGAAAGATGGTATTCTGGATTTTTTGTTGTTGTTGTGTTGTGTTGTTTTGTTTTGAGACGGAGTTTTGCTCTTGTTGCCCAGGCTGGAGTGCAGTGGCGCAGTCTCAGCTCACTGCAACCTCCACCTCCCAGGTTCAAGCGATTCTTCTGCCTCAGCCTCCCAAGTAGATGGGATTACAGGCATGCGCCACCACGCCCAGTGAATTTTTTGTGTTTAGTAGAAACCATGTTAGTCAGGCTGGTCTCAAACTCTTTACCTCAGGTGATCACCTGCCTTGGCCTCCCAAAGTGCTGGGATTACAGGCATGAGCCACTGAGCTCAGCCTGCTTTTTTTTTTTTTAAAACTTACCATGGGATTGAACATTTTCTCATGTTTCTTAGTCTTTTGATTGTTTTTTTCTTATCAATCAATTGCAAGTCTGTTGCCCACTTTGGTTTTCTTTTATGAGATTTGCTTTTATATGTTGAAAATGTCAATAATTTTCAGATTTCACTTTTTTTAACTTTTTAAAAGATTTCTAATACATAGAACTTAATTTTATATAGTCATATCTGTATCTCTTCTAAAATGTAGTTGTTAATTCCTTTTATCTTAGACTTTCCCTAAATTTTTTTCTAAATTTGTATGCATTCATTTTTAAAATGTAAAATTACCTATTTTAAAATGTAAAATTACTCCTCTGAAATTTATTAAATGTACATTGAGAATCTAAAAATAAAATGTCCTAAATAGGTAGGTTTTCTCAATGCATTTTATTGACCAGTTCATGTATGTGGGCTCACACTGGGCAGTTCGTGTGTGGGCTCACACTGGGCATTACTTTGTGTGTGGCATGGTGGAGTCAGGCTGCCCAGTTTGAATCCTGGCTCTGCCATTTCTTGGCAGTGTGACTGTACCCTCTCTGGTCCCATTTTCATGTTTAAAAATAAAGTTAGTAACAGTATTACATGGTTGTTGGGGATCCAATGAGATACTGCCTCTGAAGCCCTTACTTCTGGGCCACCACGCTCCAGCCTGGGTGTAGCCATTTTCAAGCTTCATCTTTACAAAGTGCCCAGCAAGTGGGCGTTGGACTTACTGTTCTTGGTAGAGTGGTGTATTGCCAAGCACAGGGTAAAGTGCACTTGATGTTAGCACCACCAGTATTTCAATTATATTTACTCACTTGTGTAACTGCAGGAAATGTTTCTTGGAATTACAAAATCTCACATTTGGAAGGGACTTGAGATTACCTAGATTACATAGATAATTCTTGATAACATGATTCTTAAACCTGACTCTGCATTAGAGTTAGTTGGAGGAGCTTTGAAAAGCCCCACATTCTGGCCTCACCCCTTACCAACTGAATCAGAATCCCTGGGATGTACGGTTCAGTACTTTATTTTTAATAAACTTTGTGGTGGGTCTTAAGCAGTTGGCTTGGCATTGGCAAATGGTTGTCCAACTTCTGCTTTAAAGCTTGCCACATTGAAATATTTGTGGAATAATAGGTTAGGTAAGCTAATAAGCAATTTCTTCTTAAATTCTCAGTATCTGTTATGCTAATGTATGAGGATAGGTTTTGCTCCTTTCTCATGGATCAGTTAGTAGTATGTTTAAACAAGATTTTCATTAATTTTACATTTATTTTCCCCAAATACAGATAAAAGTTTTAGATGTGAAAGTTATTTATTTGTTATACATTACAAAAACCTTGTGCATTTATATTTTAGTTTTGACTCAATACTAGATATTCTTTTATAAATGGTTTTTTTATGAAGTTTTAATTCTGAAATAATTATCTAATGTTATGTTTTTATTTTCAGAGCTTTTTGACAACTACATGCAACAAGATGCCCATGAATTCTTAAATTACCTGCTAAATACAATTGCTGATATTTTACAAGAGGAGAGAAAGCAGGAAAAACAAAATGGTCGCTTACCTAATGGTAATATTGATAATGAAAATAATAACAGCACACCAGACCCAACGTGGGTTCATGAGATTTTTCAGGGAACATTAACTAATGAAACCAGATGTCTTACTTGTGAAACTGTAAGTATATCATACAATTTTGTATAGAGAAAAATTGAATCATTACGTTAAAAGTTGTTCTTTGAGAAAGAGAAGAATGGAAGATGAACTTGAAAGTTGTAATTCTTAAATATTGGAGTTAAAGATGTGTTTTTCAGTTAAAAGGACTCTGTCTGTATTCTTAATGTAATGTTGCTTATTGACAATGAATACCTGAGGTGATAGAAAGATGTCGTAGCTTGAACTGTTTGATTTTCTTTCAGTTTAGGAGGCCATAGACCATGTTGTGAAAATTATGTCTTAGGACATAATCTCACAGGATCATACCGATCAGGGAGGCATACTAATTTGTTTTTCCTTTTTCTACAATTACCTTTAGTATCCATTGTTGGAATTAAAAACTAAAGCATACAGTGTACCCTCAAGGAGGGGAAGATATCCCACTTGCTGTACACTTTGTAAAGATGAAGCTTGAAAATCGTTACACCCAGGCTGGAGTGCAGTAGCCTTGACTTCCTGGGCTCAAGCAATCCTTCCATCTAAGCCTCATAAGTAGCAAGGACCACCAGCACGTGCCACCATGCCCAGCTAATTTTTGAATTTTTATTTTTTGTAGAGACAGGGGTCTTTCTGTGTTGCTCAGGCTGGTCTTGAACTCCTGGGTTCAAGCAGTCTTTCTGCTTTGGCCTCTCAAAGTGCTGGGATGACAGGTGTGAGCCATCATGCCCGGCCAGTCGTGTTCTTTAAAGCGTTTTCCCCGCTCAGTGCAGAATCCGGTTTGGAGGGGGGCATTGCATTTAGTTGTTTCTTTAGCCTTTTTTAACCTGAAACATTTACATGGTCTTTTTTTTTTTTTTTGTTATAACATGGAGATTTTTTAGGAATATGCCTCCCCAGACTTTTTAAAATGAGATGTACTCATATTTAGTTTCTCTGATGTTTCTTCCTAATTAGATACAGGTTATGCATTCATGGCTGTAATAATACATCGTTCATGTTGTGTTCTTCTTGGGGCATCACATCTGTAGGCACACACTATCCATCGTCCTCTCGTTGGTGAAATTAATTTTTGATCACCCAGTCAAGGTGGTGGTGTTTCTCCATTTGATTTATTTATTTGGAGACAGGTTTTTGCTCTGTTTCCCAGGCTTTAGCGCATGACACTGTTATAGATCATTATAGCCTCAGACTCCTGGGCTCAAGTGATCCTCCTGCCTCAGCCTTCTGAGTAAGTAGGACTACAGTGCCTGCCGTCACCCCTAGCTAGTTTGTAAATTTTTTGTAGAGACAGGGTCTTGCTGTGTTACTCAGGCTGGTCTCGAACTCCTGCCCTCAAGCAACCCACCTGCCTCAGCCTCCCAGAGTGTTGGGATTACAGGCATGATCCACCGTGCTGGGCCAGTTATTCCATTTTATGATGACTTTTTTTTTTTTTTTAATCCCCTTGCAATTAATAGGCTGTCTGGGGGGAGACACAAATACTTCCCTCCTCATCGAAATCTCGCCCAAGATTCAGCATGCCTTTATGATTTTGCCTGATCTCGTCTTTACTATGACAGTTGCGCTGCTAGGTTTTGATAACATTGGAAAAGAGGATCCACAGGCAAGAAAGCTAAGAGTCCTGTAAAGTCTCCATAGTTTTGCCTTTTCCAGAATATCGTGTAGTTGAAATCATACAGGATGCAGCCTGTTTGGATTGGCTTCTTCCACTTAGCAATATGCATTTAAGGTTCTTCCATGTCTTTTTATGGCTTGATAACTCATTTCCTTAATTTTCGGCTGAGCAACATTCCACCGTATGCATGTGCTGCAGGTTTTAAAGTTCATTCACTCACTGAAGGACGTCTTGGTTGCTTCCAAGTTTTGCCAATTATACATAAAGCTCTATAAACATTCGTGTGCAGGCTTTTGTGTGTATGTGAGTTTTTACTTCCTTTTTGTAAATATCAAGGAGCATGATCACTGGATTGTATGGTGAGAGTATGTTTAGTTTGATAAGAAACCAACATTCTGTCTTCCACGGTGGCTGTACCATTTTTCCTGCTTACCAGCAGTGAATGAGAGTTCTTGTTTCTCCACATCCTTGCTGACATTTGGTGGTGTCAGTTGGATTTTGGCCATTCTAATAAGTGTGTAGTGTCATCTCATGTTAATTTGCAAGGCCCTAATGACATATGTTGTTGATCGTCTTTTCATCTGCTTATTTATCATCTATATATCTTTAGTGATGTGTCCAGATCTTTTGTCTATTTTTTTAAATCAGACTGTTTGTTTTCTTTGAGTATTGTTGAATTTTAAGTGGGTTTTTTTGGGGGGTATAATTTTGGATACTAGTTCATAAATCAGGTGGGTTTTTTGCAAATATTTTCTCCCAGTCCGTGTTTTTCATTCTTTTAGCACTGTTTTTGGCAGAGCAGAAGTTTTGTTTGTTTGTTTGTTTGTTTGAGATGGAGTTTCGCTCTTGTTGCCCAGGCTGGTGTGCAGTGGCGTGATCTCAGCTCACTGCCACCTCCGCCTCTGGGTTCAAGTGATTCACCTGCCTCAGCCTCCCAAGTAGTTGGGATTACATGCATGCACCACCACACCTGGCTAATTTTGTATTTTTAGTAGGGACGGGGTTTCTCCATGTTGGTCAGGCTGGTGTTGAACTCCCGAACTCAAGTGATCCGCCCACCTTACCCTTCCAAAGTGCTGGAATTACAGGCGTGAGCCACCGGGCCTGGCCAGCAGAGCAGAAGTTTTTAATGTTTTAATAAAGTCCAACTTTTTCTTTCATGCATTATACTTTTGGTGTTGTATCTAAAAATTCATCAATAGACTAAACGTCCCTTAGAATTTCTCCTATGTTATCTTCTAGGAATTGTACAGTTTTTCATTTTTAAATTTAAGTCTATGATCCTTTTTGAGTTAATTTCTGTATAAGGTATTATAAGGTTTATTCTGGGTTAATTTTTTTGCATGTGGATGTCCATCTGCTCCAGCATCATTTGTTGAAAAGATGATTCTCCATTGAATTGCCTTTGCTCCTTTGTCAAAGATGAGTTGACTCTATTTGTGTGAGCGTGTTTCTGGGCACTCTCTTCTGTCCTGTTGGTCTGTATATCTGTTCTTTCCCCATTACCATGCTGTCTTGATTACCGTAGCTTTAGAGTAAGTCTTAAAGTCAGGTAGTCTCGGTCCTCTGACTTTGTTCTTCTTCAATATTTCGTTGGCTCTTCTGGGTCTTTTGCCTCTCCATGTAAACTTCAGAATCAAGTTTGTCGATATCCACAAAATAACTTGCTGGGATTTTGATAAGGATTTTGCTGAACCTATAGATCAAGTTGAGAAAAAAATATCTTGACAAAATTGAGTCTTCTTATCCAAGTATATGCACTATCTCCCCTTATTTACCACTTTTTTTGCTATCTTTCATTGGAGTTTGGTAGTTCTTCCTCGTATCAATGCCACGCGTGTTGTGTTAGATTTCTATTTAAGTATTCATTTTTGGGGATGCTAAGCACCAACTATGCCAGGTAGAAGATGGTAGATGAGTAAGACATAAGCCTCTGATCTCAAGATACTCCTGTGGTAATGAAGACTGGCAAACCAGTGTTCAGGCAATTCCAGTACAGTGTGTGATTGTATGTGTATGCACAGGATGCCATGCCAGCCAGAGAATGGTAGACCTAATCCAGGTGGGAGTGGGAAGGATTTGGACAGGTGAGGGACGGGCTTCCTGGAGGACCTTATGCTTGTATTTTAGAAATGCAACTGGTAACGTCTCAGGTGGTAGGAAGCTGGTGTCTGTAACACCCTTTTCTGGTGTTCTCTATGAGGGTTCCGTCTCAGTCTCATTCATTAGCTTCTCTTTTTCCATTCTTTAAATGTGGGTGTTCCCCAGGTTTCATTGTCGGTTGCTTCTCACTCTGCATTGGGAGGATCATGATCCTGTTCCATTTTATTATCACATGTGCTGATGAGTCTCAACTCCAGATCTCCACCCTAGACTTCTTCCCTGAGTTTTAGACTAGGATCTCCCCATATTGTGTATGACATGACATTAGGACATATTAGTCCAATAGCAGCCAGATGTCTTCACAACCACTTTGGAGAGTGAAATACTGCCCTACTTGGTGACCACTTGGCACCAACCCAATTGCAAATATAAACGTAGTAATTCATGCGCCCAGGTGATCTAGAGCATCCTTGTGTCTAGGTTTTTACATGATCATAAAAGTGAACATTTCAAATGACCCCTGAGGCAGTGTCTGAGGACTTCTTTTTGAAGAATACAAAATTGATTTTGAGAAACACCAGACTGTATAACTTTTACTTCTCTATAGCTTACATGTAAATTCCTGCCTGATCTGGCTTTAGCCTACCTCTGCCATACTATCTCTTGTCACCCTAGCCACTTTTCTACAAAATTGATGTATTTTCCTTAAACATATCATGTTCTCTTTTTTTCTCTCTGAGTTGTCTGTGTTCCCCCTTCTTTTTCACCAGACTTTTTGAGACTCAGGTCAGTTATCTTGTAGTGTTAATGTATCTTCCATCGCACAGTGGAATGGCATCTTAGAGAAGGGGTTTAGGTCCTACGGTTAGCTTAATGTTGAAGTCAAGGAAAGTCAAAATCACCATTGGAACTCCCTTCAACTGTCTATAAAATGCGTTCTGCACAGTACCCTGGTTTACTTACATTTGCATAAATACATACTATGTACAGCCACATGTTCTATGACAACTTACTGAGCTTATAATCTCGATGCAGTATTAAAATGGGATGGTGTTTGCTTAACTGAGTGGATGAGAGGCACAGGGAGCTGAGTCAGACGTATCTTCTGTTGCACATGTACCTTCAGGATGGACTTGCTGATAGATATAGCTAGGAAGATTTATGTCTAAAGTTCTGTCCTATTCCAATTCACATGAGCAAGTGATAACTTTCTAAGATTATTTACCGATAAATCAAACAAAACTTTATATTACATTTTTAGGAGAAATAAAGTCAGTCACAAATGAAGAATGTAATTTAACATTTTGGGCTAAATTTTTTTTTTTAATGACAAAACAATACAGATGTCCTGTGTGAAGCATTTTTATTCAGTCTTGGCCTATGTTTTTTTAAGAATCAGTGTGTATGGTACAGTTTATTTCATGCTTTAAAATAACACAAAGACTTTGGAAAATCATGAACTCTCACATCATACTAGCCTTTGCCAGAGAGAGTCAGTCAAAAGTGTACTTTGGTGTTTTATTTATACATCTGGTATGGGTTGTTTATTCAATGTCCTTTTGGATAATCCAAATTAAGTAGTTTTCTTTTGAACTTGAGGGAAAAGAATTGTTTACTTACTAATAGTAATAGAATGCATTTAATTCTGTTAATTGGGAACTGTGGTTTACTAGTATTTGAAAAAATCAAAGATAATTCACTATTTTTACAGATAAGCAGCAAAGATGAAGATTTTTTAGACCTTTCTGTTGACGTGGAACAAAATACATCAATTACTCACTGCTTAAGGTATATGTAGAATTATTTAGTTTGAAATGTAATAATTATTTTTAGTCTGGAATATTTTTTAATGGATAATGATTTCCTGGTATCTACAAAATAAATTTGTTTTGAATTTCACACAGGGGTTTCAGCAACACAGAAACTCTATGCAGTGAATACAAGTATTACTGTGAAGAGTGTCGCAGCAAACAGGAAGCACACAAACGGTAATTTAGTGCTTTATGGATTTTTAAGTGATTTTTTTTTTTTTGCAATTGGTGTTGGAGGTGGGCTTGGAAAAACAATCTAGGAAAATTTAAATTGAGTAAAAATTCTTAATTCTATCACTAACAGTTAATGTTCATTAAGTATTACTAGGTAAATGATATTCTACTTGATGTTTCTTTTACAAAAACTCTGTACCCTCAAGTGATTTCCTATGTCTAGCGATTATTTAATCATCATAAACCAGTACAGTTAAAATATTTGGCTTTGAGGCTTTCCTGATGATGTAAACTTTTTTCTTGGTGAAGAGAGTTGAGGGAGATAGGACTCCCCATTCTCCATCCCCCACACCCCCAGTTTCTGCTTTTCCTACATAGGATGTTGTACATTCTCTTAGCGTGTTATTGTAAGACTGGTTTGGTATCAATAAATGGAATAATAAACATCATCATCATCATCATTACTTCTTATTTTGAAACAATCTCAAACTCAGAAAAGTTGCATGAATAGACCAAGAAAGCTTTTTTACCCCAAATCATTTGAAAGTGAGTTACTAATATGTACCTCATGGCCCCTGGCACTTTAATAGATATTTCCCAGTAACAGGGACGTTCTCCTATGTTCCCACATCCATCCAAATCAGGAAAGTAACACTGACATGCTACTGTTACCGCAGTAACAGATACTTATTTTGGTATCACAGGATGTCCTGGTAATGACCTTTATAGAAGAAGGATTCTGTCCAGAATCCCACATTACATTTAGCATTCGGTCTCTTTAGTCTTTTTCAATTTGGAACAGTTTCTCAGTCCTTTCTTGACATTAATGATACTGACTTTTGAAAATCATAAGTTAGTTATTTTGTAGAATGTCCCTCATTGGAGTTTGTCTCATGTTTTGCTGTGGTTAGATTCAGGTTATGTATCTTGGACAGAAATCTTAGAGTGTTTTTCTCATCATGTCCTGTTAAGTAGCATATGTGACTTGATTTGTGCCGTGTGTTGGGGGTATCCCCAAGATCACTCCTAGGACAGGTGATTTCCTAGAAGGACTCAGAGTGCTCAACACCCAGGCATGCTCACAGCTAAGATTTATTACAGGAACTGGATACAAAACACAGTCAGCAAAGAGAAAACCAGGCAAGCGCCCGGAAGTAACTGTCCCAGTGGAGTCACAAAAGACAGTTAATTCTTCCCACATTGAATTGTGACAACACAGGAAGCTCATTACAGACTGAGTGCCCTGAGTTTTTATTTGGGGCTAGTCACGCAGGTACCCTCTGCCTACCATGCCCCCGAATTCCAGACTCCCAGAAAGCAAGCAGGAGTTCAGCATAAACTGTCTTGTTTGTTCAAACAATTTAGGCACAGCGAGACACTCTTATTATTTGGCAAGCGGTGGGAACATGTCCGAAATCCAAGTTTCCAGATGCTAAAGGGACCATCCACGCAAGCAGGCCTTTCTAAGGATAGTTTGAGGCGATGTGAATCCCTTTCTGAACCTCCCATTACTGTTCTTGGCTGTTGTTGAATGTTTGAGTGAATGTTGCCCAGATGTTTTACAGAGTTCTTCATGTTAATCTTTTCTTTTTCTCGTTGTAATTTAGAAGTATTTTGTGTAGAATTATTTTGAGATTGTAAATATTTCATTCTTCATTGAACTTTCATTTTATTCACTTTTAAAATCTTACAGTGGACCCAAAGGTTCCTGTTTTATTCAATGGATTGTTATCCATTAGCATTCTTACTTCCATGCTCACATTATCTACAATCTGGCCAGGGGGAGCTCCTCCAAGCTGGCTCTTCTCTTGATGTGCCCAGTCATTCTCCAGGATTTCTTTCCTTTCTGACTGAAGCTCTTCAGGCTTGTTTTGCTCTTTCTTTGCCCCTACTCTGGAATAAGCCATTTCTCCAAGGAGCCCTGGTTTCTCTTAGGGGAAAACGATAAACTAGGACCTTGTGTAGTTGGGCTCATTGCTATTGGAATGTCATTGTTCCTGAGCCCGCTTAGTGAGCAGAGCTAGAGGATAGATGAGTATTTATAAATACACACACAATTTCATATCTGCATTTATTTCTCTTCTACATCTATTGATCTCTTTATCTGTATTGAAAACCATGAATACACAGTGATAATCTTCTTGTAGCCACCCCCGTAATATTTGTAATTCCTTTCTTGGACAGTACAGTTGGCTGCTCTTATCCTTACTGTATTTACTTATTTGGTCAGCGCACCTTTAGGTAACCCAGCTTGTTCTCTCTACCTTCCTGCCCCCACTCCCTGCATTGCCACACATGCATAACACCAGCACAACGCGTGCGCGGCCACACCCACCCACCCACACACACACACACACCCTTTTCTGCTTGGGCTTCGCCTTCTCCTGCCTGTACAGATGTCTGTTATTGGGCCCCATCAAATAGTTGAACTGAGTTGTTCTTTAAGGGAGGGGAAGAGCTCAGATTTTTAAGTGATTATGTTTTTGTTTTGGTCACAGACATTTCCTAGGAAGGAAAGTGTTTTTGGTAATGGACCACAGAATCAAAACAGATTACTCACTGTTTCTGTCCATTAGTGTATATGATGGGGAGCACCTCAAAGAAGTTTAATCAGAGGGATAGGGGCTAAGGCATTACATTCATCCTGAAAACGCCTTCGAAAGTACCTAAGACCATTGGATAAGTAAGTCAGGGACTAAATGTAGCTAAGAGAAATACAACTTTCAGACTACTGACTGTAGGGAGGAAGGCCCATCTGTGAGCAAAAGCCACCCTTTCCCTCAAATGATGGTTATACAAGTAATCACATGTGAGGAATTGAGAATTGTCTGTAAAATCGAGCTCTTTGTTTTAAAGATATGAAATTTTAATGTATTAGAAAATACATGAAGAATGTGTATTCTTTGTAAATAAATTAGAAAATACAGATAAATGTAAATCAAGAATCACTATAAAAGCTATAAAATGTTAACATTTTTGTATATATCTTAGATTTTTAAAGTGTGTATGTATATACACACATAGTCCCCAAAATGCTATCAAACTTTATGTGCAAGTTTGAAACTTTTTTCACTTAAAAAATTGCGACCATGTTAATGAAAAAATATTTTTATATCCTTAGGAGGTGGTGCATTGTGTGTGTGTGTGTGTGTGTGTGTAATTTTATATATATGTATATATATGTGCATATATATAAAATATATATATATGTGCATGTATATATGTATATATTTTTTAAAGAGACAAAAGATCGCTCTCTGTCACCTAGACTGGAGTCCAATGGTGCGATCTTAGCTCACTGTGGCTTCAGACTCCTGGGCTTAAATGATCCTCCTACCTCAGCCTTCTGGATAGCTGGGACTAGAGATGTGTGCCACCACGCCTGAATAATTTATTGAATTTTATTTTTTACGCAGGATCTTGCTATGTTGCCTAGACTGGTCTTGATCTCCTGGCCTCAAACAGTCCTCCTTCCTCAGCCTCTGGTGTGGCTGGAATTACAGGAGCCAGATACCACGCCTGCTGTGTAGTAGTTATTTTTTTTTGTATGAACATACCATAGTACCATGTATCTACCAGTTGTCTAAATCTAACAATTTAGATTTTTTACACTGTTATGAACAGTAAACAGTTTTGTGTGTATATACACATATTCCCCACATATTTTTGGACACTTTGTAGGATGAATTATGCATAAGTTCCTGGAAAGACAACTTTACAGAAGTTACGTATTTCTCATTAGGATCTAGCATCAGCCTTTCTGATAATTTGTGGTGTGATATTGAGCAGTTTATTTAGTATTTTTGACCTTTACTTGGATGAATTCACTTCTGAAAGTTTATAGTTTTCAGTTTTGGAATAATAGGATAAGCTTGTGTTGAGTATACAGATCATAGTTCTTACTAAAAAACCAAAAATCAATTTGACAACCAGACGTGGTGGCTCACACCTGTAATCCCAGCACTTTGGGAGGCCAGGGTGGGCAGATCGCCTGAGGTCAGGAGTTGAAGACCGGCCTGGCCAATAAGGTAAAACGCCGTCTCTACTGAAAATAAAAAAATTAGCCAGGCATGGTGGCACACATCTGTAATCCCAGCTACTCTGGAGGCTGAGGCAAGAGAATTGCTTGAACCTGGGAGACAGAGGTGGCAGTGAGCGGAGATGGCATCACTGCACTGCAACCTGGGCAGCAGAGCGAGACTCTGTCTCAAAAAAAAAAAAAAAAAAAAGAAAACATTCCATTATAATAGTATTAGAAACAATAAAATATTTAAGAATAAATTTACATGGCAGACTTGTATATTGAAAATTGTAAGATGTTACTGAAAGAAATTAAGATACAAATAAATGGAAACACATCCTATGTTAGTGGATGGAAGACTTAATATTGTTAAAATGTCCATACTACCCAAAGCAATCTAGGGATTCAGTGCAGTCCCTATAAAAATTCCTATGGCATTTTCTGCAGAAATAGAAAAAAGCATCCAAAAATCCACGTGGAATCACAAAAGACCCTAAATAGTTGAACAATCTTGAGAGAGAAGAACAAAACTGGAGGCATTAAACTTCTGATTTCAAAATATATTTCAAAAATACAGTAATTAAAACAGTATGCTACTGGCCTAAAGACATATGGACCAGGTGGAACAAAATGGCCCAGAAATAAAACCATACATATGCAAGCAACTGATCTTCAACAAGGGTGCCAAGAATACACAGTGGGAAAAGGATAATGTCTTCAGCAAATGGTGTTGGGAAAACTGAATATCCACACGAAAAAGAATAAAGTTGAACCCTTACCTTACATCATCTACAAAAATTAGCTCAAGATGGATTTAAGACCTAAAACTATAGAACTTTTTTATTTTTATTTTTTCCATCTCACTCTGTCGCCAGGCTGGAGTGCCTCCCCCTCCCGAATAGCTGGGACTGCAGGCACACACCACTACACCTGGCCAATTTTTGTATTTTTAGTAGAGATGGGATTCCACCATGTCTTGAAC